AGAACTTTCATTGTGTGACAGATTTATGTTTTGCTAAATTTGACAAATATTTTCATAATTAAATTTGACAAATATTTTCATAATTAAATTTGACAAATATTTTCATAATTAAAATTTTCAACTAAAGGAAAGTCTCCTTTTTTCACTCTCAGTAAAATATGTGTACGTTTCAAATACATTATGTAACAATGTATGCAATATATTTAAAAATGCAAATTAAAAAAAAACAGGTAAAAATTCCCTTCGTAAAGACAAGAATAAAATAAAATTCAAATAATATTATCGTCCAAATTATGAATTATTACCTGTGTAATCCACATTAAAATTTTTTTTTTTGAGAAACGCCTTCTGTCAATAATCACTGCGATAGATAAAGCTCAGCGCAAGGTATATCTATCGCAGTGATTATCAAATTACAGCAACTAACGGACACAATGCCCGGAGCGCGTCCGTGATCGGACATCCATCAAATCATCGATTCACCGTGATTTCAGCAGACCCGGTAACTGTAGCCACGATCCTTTCAACCTGCCATACGTCACGTACATCGAACGCCTCGCTTCGGCGCTTTCGAAGCGCAATCCCCGGAGTGTATGGCTCGCTAGCGCGAGTCAATTTTTGCGACAAAAGTCTGGTCGAACAACACGTGGCCGCGCCCAGTGAAATGTAACCCTTACACTGGCCCAAATTACTCTTTCCGGAAACAAAAGCTACATATTTTTTCTGTTCGTAGCACGTTATTATATTCGACCCGGCTCCCTCCATCAAAAGAAGAAAAAATGAAAACCGAATATACCATTGGCCACACTCGGGGCGGAGTTGATTGTAATTTACACCATTTGTCTCCTGCGATTGTATAGTATATAATGTAATTAATATTTCAAATATATCTCCATAGGTCGAAATATCTCAAATATATCCATAGGTTATCAATAACTGCATCCCATGCTCGTAAATAAAAGCCATTTCCCACAGACGATATTCTAAACTGTGCGTGCTTACAATGGCTTCATAATTGATTGATATACCACGTATAGAGTATAAAATATCATTCGATTAACCGAAACGATTATACGAGAGATGATCGTCTCGGCTATCAAGTTTTGAATATAGTTAAAACGAACATTCTTTACCGTTTTCACGTAAACATTCTTTACGGAGCAACATGGTGAAGAGAGTAAGAGCGCAATTGGGACGAATAGAATTTTTATTTTTTTACGCGCGTCATCTTGTCGGAATGTATCGACATTTACTGCACCGATGGCAGCTGCTCTTGCACATGCATCGTCAAACTATAAGACCGCTGCATGCGCGCCAGCTTCTCCTCCATCTAATCCTCTTCGAACGCTACTATACGAAACGAGACAAAAACCCTGCTTCTTTGTTCTGGCACGTTGTCCTCGCGCAACGAGCGGGAGTAACCGCACGACACGCCAGATGCACCAACACCTACGCGACAGTATCGTGTATTCGAGCTTCACGGGGCCACGGGGTCGTAACTTTGCGGGCCGCATCTACTACAAGCATCGCGGCAGCGTTGGCGATTTTTGGTCCCGTCGTTTTATCGACAAGTCCGCCCGTTATTTATTATTCCCCCGTTATTGATCAGCGCGAATCACCGTGGCACCCTTGTAAAACTCGGTCGCGAAATATGGATGCGCTCATCGCGACAATGACAAATTATTTCACTACGAAACGCCCCGCGCTTTAACTTTAACGGCGCGGATGTTCGTGCCGGGTTAATCAAAATATACAACGAACGGCATGTAACGCCGGCAACTTGTAAAAAAAATTTTCAATAAAACTAGCGCGAGTTATTTTATGATCCGTAAGTGGTCTCCGATATACATATTTTAATTACATTAATGGAATTCTTTTTTTAATACATATATTGGTCCAACGAAAAATAACTCGCTGAAACGAGCGGAAGTCTATAATACATCGAATGTGATCCATTTAAAAAGAAATTCTCATGCGACCGATATCGATATTTTAAATATTAGCCATTATCAGAAAATGTGCCATCATTTGATAGCTTGAATAACGTCATGCTGCCTTTTTTCATGCGCAGTATCATTCGGCGGTTTCCAATAGTAATTCAACACGATGTGCGACGTTGGCATTCCGTTTCCGTTATGAAAAAGTTCTCATTTCCCGTCGATCCGCATCCGGAACTGTTTCCTGATCGCGACCTTTCGCATCCGACTATGTCGGAAGTTCGATACGGGCTGCTCCGATACGCGAGCTTGGATGCCTTTATCATTGCACGGCGAAAAACGTAAACGACAGTCAATCGATTTTCGATGAAATACAATTCATTAACTTGATATGAATTTTCAAGCTGGTACAGATTTAAAGAGGAATCGCGTTGATGCTCGCACGCGCGTCTTCACAAGCGCCGGATCCATTGCTCGTATCGATTGTACATGCCAGTGTTTTACCTGTTATTAAATGAATCGAGACCAGACTAGCAAATTGATTCATTTGTCGTAAAAAAAGAATGAGAATCACAATTGATTCTCCGCTTCTTATATTTTTATTCTTATAACGTATAAATGTATGCGAATGTATTATATTTGTATTTCAATGATATATTTTGATCGAGTATTAAGAATTGATCAAGACTGATTATTCCAGTCTAAATAAATAATATGAAAAATGTTTTATGTTAATTAAAGTAGATTTCAATTTAAATTTTCAAATTAAAGTTTAAAAAATTGAAAAACTATAGAATAACAATGACAAAATACAATGCATTATGCGTCTCTTTCTTATTTTAAATTTATAATATAAAAAAAAATTAATTTTTATAACGCATGAATGATTATTTGCGAATCTCACACATACATTAAAATCTATAAATTTTTACAAGATTAAATTTCTCTTTTAAATCGTTTTGCTAACACAAATATGCGCATATATTTCGGAATCATTACTTAAAGAGTGTTAGTACTCAAAGAAATGAAAAGCTTTTTAATATTTATACGGACAATTATTCTTTAAAAAACGTCAAGATACTATATAAAACGAATACACCTGACGAGTAATGCTTGGTACATTAATTCTCATAATAAGATGACAAGATGCCATCCGATACGCCTACTAATTAAACATTAACTTTCTTTAAAATCTTAAAATCTTTCTAAATCCATATTTTTCCAAGAGATGCGTTCAAGTATAAAATCGCGTTCTAAATTTTAATATCAAAAAAATTTAATACGCAATAATAAATTATTCTGTTATGACATAAGAAATATACGTATTGTATATTACATAAAACACCAAATAATATTCATAAAACACAGAAAATTGATTTATAGTGTGATTTATCGATGCGTACTGCAATTGATATTTTATGAGTATATAATCCATAAAACTTCATCCTAAACACATACAATTAAAGTAAGGATAATATAAGAATTCTCGGCAAAAGATTTATGTTAATTCTCAGCAAGAGAATCGACTTGTTTCACACAAGGATGAACTTTGCGTGCAAAATTCAAATCTTATTCAAATGTCACCGTGGGTTAACTGCTGAAGTTCACATAGTCTCGTAAAAAGAAACGAAATTTCTATGCGAATATATTTCTTGGTTTCCACGTGTACCAATTTATGAACCAAAAATACGTAAAAAGATATTAAATACTTATCCCCAGAGATAATATACTTTTAAAACGTATGTCTGTATTTTCATATTTATATCAACATAGACAATATTAATTTAATGCTATAGTTTTATCTTTTTATTAAATATTTCGTCTATAATCAATCTTATTAAAAACGAATAAAGTTCTGGTTTAAGTGAAAAGATAGACATACATATTTACGTTTATACTCTATCTAAATATAATATAAATATAATTTTCATCGTGCGAAATATAATATAAATTCAATTTTCATTGTGCGATATATTAAAAAATTTGTTTGCATAAAGGAAAAAATTCTTTTTCGAGTTGCAGTGAGAATTATACAATAATGAGAACTGTAAAAATTATAATACTAAAATTACAATAATATAAAAGCAAATAAAAATAATTTCTCAAATGGATGTCTTCGCAAAAATTTCCAATATCATTATTATGGCTGTTGAATATCGTCGGTAATTAGCGAGTAATCTAACGCTAATATCGACGAAATGACCGTCATCAGCGTGGACAAACACGCTGTACGTAACGTTTCATCCACAAAACATATTCTAGTCCAAACTGATCCGCGCGCAAAACACTATCAACGGATAAAGGGCCAGGTCATGCAAGCTCGTCCATCCCAACCTTCCTCTATCCGCAAGCTGCAGATTAATCTGCGATCTGTGTCTTACCTGCAAGCCAGATACAACTTGCGAACTTATCTGATTCCGTCGCTAACAATCAATACTCGAGCAAATCCTAGCGACGTCGAGAACCCACTATTTATCTCGATAACGTCAACAATAATTAACGAAATTACAATGTACTTGGTTCTGTTTTGTCGCGTATCTATTGTAGAGTTTTAACAATAAAATAAACACTAACGGCAAATTTCACGAGATTGGAAACAATGAAATTTGAAAATAAGTTAAAACTTAAAAAAAAAGTTTTGAAATAATGCAATGCAGAGAGTTCCTACGTATTTGCTTTTAAAAGTAGTTTAGAAGCTTATGTCTTACTAAATAATATATTATTATATGAAATACATTTTGAAAAGCACTATTTTCACATAATATAATATAGCTCCTGAATTTAATAAAATTGATATAAATTTGTATAAAAGTAGTGCACATCTGAATAAAAACGTTGAAATTTATGAAATTTGTGCACAATAATATAAAAGAAGAAGTGATATCATATTTTCAAAACACATTTAAGTTTAGCTTAAAAATTTCAGTTATCTTTAGTGCACCCAGAGAGAGTCTATAGAGCGAAAATGTTATTAAATGTTACAATGTAAAGAAAAGATTGAACAATCGCATTCAACACTAAATATGAGACAAGAAGATAAACCTTTAATTTTCTAAATTATTATGACTCACCAAATTGCATTTTCCGGCGAAGAGTTCCAGTCTGAAAGCAAAAATAATCTCTGTTACTCTTCGAAACATCCGAAACGAATTAAAATCTTAGAAATATACGAGGAAGAGAAGGCAAATTACACGATTATTTCCATTTCATTGCAACTGACAGAGCTGGTAAAATGCTTAAAGCTTTATACGAGCGCTTAATGAGTTTCGCGACTTAGTTGTGGACATGCTAATTTCCGACGTTGACGTTTCTATGTTATATGTCACGCAGGTACGTTCACTCGCGATCAGAGAGTTTTGAGCGGAAGTCTACAAGGGAGTCGCAACGTCAGCAATGTACCAGCTTTCGAGACGAACGTGCCACGGAATGTCACTACTGCGGTCGGTCAGACCGCTTTTCTTCACTGCAGAGTTCATCAGCTAGGCGACAAGGAGGTGAGTGACAGCATAATTCCTACATTTCGCAACTTTCTTTCGTCTAGGACAATTCGCTAATTACGCTAGAATATCCGCGACTGACAGCGTTACAACAAAAGTTTTTCTCCAGCATCAATTACCCTTTAAATAAATAGCTATAAATATTCGCATAATATCACATTTCCTTCCCGCAACAGATCTTTGAGATGGATAACTTGATAAATGCTAATGTATAGTTCGATATAATTTGCAACGAAATTACCATAAATAAATTTTTTTCGTATAAAAGGTATGAAAAGTTGTTAATTATTTCGGATCAAAGGAATTTTTAACAGAAAACAAATATCAAGCCTGGTAAATTATTTTATTGAGAAGATTTCATCGTAAAATCTTCATAAAAAAATATTATCCTACTTTATACGTTAATTAAATTCGACATGAAGTCCCTTTATAGCTCAGGCATTTATCGAGATGCGAGATAAAAAATTAAAAAAACTCGTTTGAACCCTGGAGAGAAAGAGTTCATAACCTTTTTAGTGACTCTTAAATGGGACACATAGATATTAGGTAGGAAAAAAACTTTGCAATATTCTCGCGTCAAAGATAGAGCGGAGGTTGCTGTTGCGGTTATGATCGCTTCATCGTTTTTTCAAAATCCCCAATCCCAGGCATGCCTCTCTGTCAAGCTATATAGATCAGAGTTGCCGGGTTAACATTACCACAAGGCTGGCCTGCGGTTTCTGGTTAGGTCGTTGATAGAATATGCATGACGCCTGTTTGAAGGGATAAACCTGTTCAAAGGCGAACAGAGGATAACGGCAATTATCTTTCCAGATTTTTGACTAAGAATCGTGATTGACTAATAATTGAATTCGTCACGCTTTTCACACCAAGTGTTATCCTTATTCTTTTTCGCTCTTAACCGAGCATTGTATGTCAATTACTCTTGCGCAAGAACAAAGAGCTCTCTCTTTCTATCCAATTTATAAATTTTTAATAAAAGTCTACATAACTGCAAAATCGTTCAAAGATAGGAAATTGATGATAAGTTATGCAATATCAATCGCAGAAATTTTAATGTAATTTTTTTGTGCATGCTCTGTTAAGGCTTAATATTTAATCAAGCCGCGCAATCTTCTGGTTACTGTGCTAGAGTTGCCGCAGCATGCGAAGATTTCATATTTCGCAAAGTTCCAGCCTAGTTCATATAATATATACGTCGAGAAAATGTATCGATGTTACCAGCATAACAAGACTCGATATTACTGAAGTAATTCGATAAATACCGATACGCAGGGTTGCTCAAAGTTTCAGGGAATATTGCATTTATTGCAATAAATAGCGCGAATTTACAATATCAACAATATTCTCAAAATAGAAAAAATACTCGACTAAAGTCGTAATCATGATTATAAAAATTTAAACAGCGTTCGCGTACTTATTACATGCCTTGCATGTAGCTCCCGCTTTTACACGGGAAAACTCCCTCTTTTACAATTGAATTGTTGCAAAATATCTTACTTCGTGGGAAGAGGCAGTTGGACTGATTACTCGTTAACGACCCAATTATTCACAAGCAGGTCAATAACGTGAGTTTCAGCTATTTCCGGGAGGAAGAACCGAGGAGATGGGGGATGTTCGATCACGCATCACCGATAACTTGTAAACGTCACGATCGTATTTTCACTCCGATAATTATAGGCTAACCACGACGGAATTGCGGTGAGATTCGTGCGAACCATGCATGAAATTGCTTTAAAATTTTTAAAAACCAAGTATTTTATAAGATATACGTTTCTCCATATTTACGTAGCTGTTCGCAAAAAAATAAAATTGTATTAATTCACAAGCTTCTCCGCGAATTCTAACAATGCTTCGTCGAAAAAATACTCTTTTTTAAATAAAGCACAAGCATGGATGATGAAAGAAGATATATGGAAGTTATTACGTTATGCTGCATTTTTCCAACAAGATTACTGCTTCACGAATATCACGAATCGAACAATAACTTTTCTCATTTTATAACTAGACGATATCATACGTTTTTGTTATTAAAGGAGAGCAATCGCACGCAGGATGTAACAAGATTGCTCATTGAACCAATTACGAAAATTCGCGCATTTTCTCGCGACTATCGAATCGAGCCCACATCTCGAAAGGAGAAAAGACAGAGAAGAACTCGATCAGGAAAAAGGTGCTGATATTGTTCCCGCAGAGGTGGTGCCCGATGGAGCTGAGACGGCGAGAACCGACAGGTCGAATCGTAATAAATTACATGTGAAAATCGCAGGTCATTTCTTGTGACTGGACGCCTTATCACGTCTTGACACGCTCACGAATGATTGGCTTAAGATTGAGATTGGTGATAGACTATCATAGAACTTACGATAATTACAGAGGACTTTTTTATAAAAAGGATCATTTCTGTAGTGAAAGAATTGATAGTTGAACATAAAATAAGAGACGCGATTCTCGCATATTGTAATAAAATAGTTATCGAAAACTTTTTTACATAATAATTATAGGTCTCTTCTTTAATAATATATGCGTAATAATATTATATATTATAATATATTATTGATATGATATTATATATTATATATTATATTTCATATCTTCTATATATTATATTCTTTATATATATATTATATATATTATATCTTCTATATATTATATATCATATATTATATCACATATTTAATAAAAATATATAATGCAGATTAGCAAAAAAAATTTCATAATTCATATATTTTTCTGGATCCAAGATAAACTTTTTAAGGGAACATAATTTGTGAGATTCTTTTATAAAAAATATTGAATAGCAAAGTAGAAAGAAGTATATACAGTTATTCACTTAACATTGAAATACTGCAAAACTTTTTTAATGTATTAATTTATCTTATAAATACATACTAAAATTCAGAAATATCTTCTAAATACATACTAAAATTCAGAAATTGCGCTGTACGAATGTTAGCATAAATAATTATATATATATACATATAGCGCCGCGCTTTACAATTTACATGTTAACTTGAGAAAGTCGGCGGTTTGACTTGCAGAAAGTTGGCGCAACGTATATGAAGTTATTGCGGGGCAAATGTTTGGAGTTAACGGAGACATTTGCCCGTCGTTCCTTTTCCGACTTAGTAAAACTGTTTACAACATATTCTGGACTTTTGTAAGTTTTCTCGACATCAACATACTGTTTATGTTGTCATTAATGGACACTTGAATTTAAAATATTTATTAAATAGTAACAATTTTTTTGCGAAAAGCTCGCAATTACTCGAAAATCAATACGGTGAAATATTTTAAGTGTCATATATATACATATATGAGATTGTAAAAAAGAGATTTTATAACTAAAAAATTAAAATTTTAATCTACCACTGCTTAGAAATATTTTTTTCGATATTTTTCTCTGTTTTCTTATTGTCAGTCAACTTATAGAGATCGCGAGGCCTACAGTTTGCGAAAATTATTCATTTTTCTCTAATTATATTTTATTTTTATTCATAAATTAGTTTCGTGATTTGATATTAATTTGACAGTATTCGAAGATGAGATAATATAGAAAGACTAAGTGCTCCAATGTACTTGGAGCGTTGATCGAAGTTGTAATCGTTCTGCGTTTAGTGACGTTCTCATTGTATCTCGAAAGTTTGTGAGTGGTATTTACGTTGACACATTGTATCAGAGCTTCAGCAACTCGAAATCGGGACATTAACTACGTTCGCACGTGCAACTTGGTACCGCCATATGCGGCTTATACAGGGTGCTCATCCGTAAAATGGAAACGCAACATTTGCATTGCTAATTCCATGCGTTACATTACGCGCTTGTTGACCCAAAATAATATTCCAAAGGGAGAAGTCATCAACTCTTGCTCTCTATTATATAATGTATCTATTATATAATGCATTTGTATCCCGAGTTATATGAGAAAAAAATTAAATAGGTATGCACAATAAATAATTATTCCTAACTGAATTTAGTCTGCAATCTCTAACCTTGTCTCTTTCTCTCTTAAAGAAATTTGTATTTAGTATAAATTGTTAATATTTCCCGACAAAAATAATTCTCAGTCTTATTCTTTAAAATCTACAATATTCACCCGCAAAATATCTTTGGAGAATAATATTTTAACTCGAATGACATATCTGCTCGAGATGCTATTTTAGTTCGGAACCTTCAACTCCACTTGATTTATATCTCTCGTCAAGAGTTTCTGAGAGTCTCCGGTATTTATACCATATAATCCGGTCGTGTAAACGACCCTTTCAACCGAATCGATTTACTCGAGGGAGAATGAATTTGGGCGAACCTGACGGATTCCGCATGATAAAGTTATATCGACGAGACGTAGTTGTATATATTCAAAGCAACGGGAAGAAAACAGCTCGGTAATTCGATCCTTTCGGCGAGGACCACTCTTTTCCCGGTTTGAATAAATATCGCGCCGGGAAGCGGAAGTGTCGTTCATCCCGAGGTTTTCTCTAGCTCGAGTCCCGACCCAAGATTTACGCGCGACCTTGCGAACAAGGAGGGAGGATCGGATTTTCGATGGGGATGATCAGCTTCGTTTGAGTAGCAAAGCGTAGCTGCTGAATGCTGTATATATATTGTAGATCCGCGAGGAATCTCCGAAAACGGTGTGTGCCTTATCTTCTTGCGACGACCTAATATAATGTTTTCGATAGTCTATCAAGAGCGACTCGAAAATTTCATTATTTTTAATCGCGCGCTGACTGATAATTTTATTGACTTCTTAATGACTTTGATATGCGATGTATCGATTCTTCATTTTATTATATCAACGTATATTGTTAATATTAATATATTAAATGTATCAAAATGGAATACTAAATGATGCAGTTTATAAGCTACGAGCTGTATGCAGTGAAATAATATGCGAGCTAGCTTATTAAAACTTTATTTTTTCTTTATTCTCTAATTAAACGATTTTTTACATTTTTTTACATTGTCAATTTTAAAATGAAGATAGTAATAAAGTT